GACAATTTCTTGTGTGTCTCTGTTTCCCTATTGTTTGGAAGAAACTTATTCTAAAATGTCTGCTTATAGAAAAGTGTATCTATACCTTAGTGATGTCCTTATCATGTTACTTGATATTAGAAAACAATGCAGTAAAAAAAATGTTTTATCACCAGGTCCAGCTGCTGATAGTGATGCTTGGCTCAGTGCTGGGCCTCAATCTTCGCAACATTGCTTGGCATGGATTCTTGAGTCCCCATGAAACAAGCCAAGCTTTTGTTGCAACAATTATCTTCATTCTTGCTGACTGTGGAAGGATGCTGGAAAAAACAAATAAAATCAAGAATATCCCATGCAGGCCACATGTAACCTTTGATGAGGTGAATTTTATCGAATATAGCTGTGAAATTTTAATTCAGTTTAACACAGTTCTCTACATCCTTTATCTTCTTTGATCACATCCTCACCAGTAAATCCTCCTTTGGACTGTCAAATAGAATATAGAAACAAGTCAGTATAAGGAATGGCTTGGGAGGTGACTCTCCTCTTAATCAATGCTTGGCTTATTTTTCCTTTTTATAACCTGCTCTGCTCAGATTTCTAACAGCCAGGCTTTTATTTAATGTTATATTAGGGAATTGGTAGGAATGCATCTAATTTCTCTCAAACCTAAAAGTTACCATGTCAACATTCCAAGTGTTCTTGAACTTACATATTTTTTCCTAAAAGAAGTCTTTTACTGCTGTAATAAGTGATAATCTTAACTGATATAACACAAATTAAAAAAATAAAGCTGTTTGTGAATTATAATGTTAGACTATATATTTCAGACAAACTGATTATATAATGAGTAATGGATTTTTTAAATTTCTTTTTTCTTTTTACAGGCATCATGCCTTGGCAGTGTATTTGATAATATGATCATCCCCAGAAAAGCTGTTTTGGAAGAGGTGATAATGAATTCCAGTTTTGTTCCAATTGTCATGTATCCTGCTTGGAAAAAAGCCTTAGAACTTTTGGAAGAGGAGCAGTAAGTGACTAAGAAATATTTTTATAAGCTGTGATTCAAATGCATACTTAGGTATATTATAAATGTTTAATATTTTAACCCATTCGCCCCATGTGGCAAGAATACATGCCAAATAACGCCATCGATATTCATGGCACTAGTGAAAAATATGTTTTTCCCGCCATTTCAAATCAGGCGCTAACAGAGCCATCTATGGGAAGACATTTAATAAAAAAGTATAGAAAATAGGCACAGCATTTTCCCCATTTTTTGTTCATTTTCCCCGGCGGCAATGGGTTAATCACGAAATAGCCAGTTTATCAGAACTACCTATCACACCTGTTTACCCTTTTCCTTCACTTTAGGAAAGGGTTTTTTGTATCATTTCATTGTCTAAAATATTTTAATGACAATTTAATAATCATAACATCATAACATTGATAGCAATGGTATTAATAAGAAAAAGATATTTTCCCGCCAATTCAAGGAATAGGAAAACTAGGATCAGTAACTAGGGCCTACTGATAGACTCATTGCCAGCTGAGCACATGTGGAGCCATCTGTATGTAACAAAATTCACCAAAAACTACAGGGGACAGAACATAAATCTGGGGTGAATGGGTTATGCAAATAATTGTGCTAGACATCAAAAGTCATTATGGAAAAGTATTGTGGTGGGTGGGGTTTAAAGTGCTTTATTATAACAAAATGTCTTGGATTTCAATCGTCATATGGCATTTTAAGATAGTGTGGTATTTTATAAAACATTTTTAGGATATTATAGGTATTGATAATTATTCTTGATTGGATTTTAAAAACAAGTTAAAAACAAGGCTGTGTATCTATGTTATTGTTGTTGTTGTTTTTTGTGTGTGTGTAACAGTAGTCTTACAAGTAAGGTTTTATTTGCATGTTTTTTATAACTGTTGTTACATAAAATGAAGTAGGTATGTTATTACCTTTTGCTAAAACCAATTCATTCTTTTGAACATTTGCTATGTTATATTTCAGATGGGGTTTGTGTGTAACTCTTCTTCTTCCCTTGATGGAATGTTCCATGAGAGCAATGTTTGCTCATGTTAACAAAGTGTCAGAGAGAATGCTAACTGCAGAAAATTCAACATTATACACCACCATGGATGAAATACTTAATGAATATATGGAGAACAGTACAACTTCTCAGACAGTGAACGAAAAGGATGGAAAATATGAGTTTTCTAGTTGTTCTGCCAGTGTTCACAATTTGGGAAACAGAGAACACTGTGAGGTAAACAAATGCACATTATCAGCTGATGGGATAGAGCATGCAGATCAAGAAAAGAACAGAGAATTAGATACTTTAGAGAAAAAGAATCAGGTTCAGTATACTATAGGTACAAAATTAAATGAAGCTCTACATGACCTACTGACTTTTATCCAAGGTCCACGTATCAGGGACAGAGTGAGTCATGGAGAGGCTAAGTTACAAGAAATCCCAGCATTTATCACATGCCACATTTTATATCTTAACCTTCTGGTGCTCTCTTCAGGAGGTCCAGATATTGATGAAGCTCCCAGTGGTACTACTAATAAAATGCAATGTATGAACTTGAAGGGTCTAAGGGAGGAATATGCATTAAATGCTAAATTGGAAGGAAAAACCTTGAAAAAAACAAGTGAAACAAAATGCCTTGAACACGGTCCTCCTCCATCTGATGAAGCATGTTCCCAGGATAAAAAATGTACCAATGACTCCTGTAATTTGTCAGATCATGGTAAAGAAGTTATTGGTAAACTAAGGAGAAATATGAATGATTACAAGTGTGTTTTCCATCCAAGTGCCATATTACACAGGAGGCTTATTCATGCTGGGTCATATATTTCAAATTGGATACAGTGGGATAGGGTAGATTCTTCAGAACTTGATTATCCAGAGTGGGAATCCTGGGATAAGATACAGTTACCTGGAGCAATATCATACCCACCTTTACATATTTCTCACAATGTGTGCAGCCTTCATAACATGGAAGAGTTTCTTGTCTTAGTAAAAAACATCCAGTACAAAGTTTTGTATAGACCCAAACAGGAGGTTGAATTAATATCTATTTTGCAGAGAATTACAGTATGCATTTTAGCAACTCTTGAAAAAAATCATGAGAATATGGCCTTAAAATATTCACAATATATTAATAAAAGATTAAGGTCCAGACAGAGAGAGACATACCGGAGACAACTAACTGCAGTTCCAGTAATTGTTTCAAGTTGTTATCTCACAAGTCAAGTGATTTACTTAATATTCTTAGCCATTAACAAGTCTGGAGACTTAAGTCAGTCTTCCTTTACCAGTTTAATGAAAGTTCTAAAACCTGTGCTGAAAGTCACTGAGAATTTAGTAACTCAAACCAGCTTGAGTGTAAATCGCTGGGATGAAGCATCATCTTTATCTGTTAATAATATTGATCATATAAGAAAGGAATTTACTCATAGACAAGAGTGAGTCATTGGCACTGGGTCAGTTCAGAATTTCCAGCAAATATTTGCTGATAAATAAGAGACTGCATTATTCTTGAAATAAAACAAAAATATTTTATAACTGCAAGTAGAATATAGATATTTATATTTTCATTGTAGTAATATATTTTTTTAATGATACTTAATGAAGTATATGTTTCAAGTCAGTTGTTAACACAGAATGAATAGGAATCTCTCTTTGCAAATGCATGTTACCTATCAGCATAATTAATCCCTGTTAAGAACAATAAACAGCAAGATGGGTTTAGAGGATTTACCTTGGGTTAAAAGGAGTTATGTCTGGTTTAGAACAGAGAGACAATTTTAAACAACAGGAATGAGTAATATTGGTTGAAAATCAGAATAATCCAATAAGAACTTCTCATAAGATATTTTTCCAGTTTGAATCACATATTAAAGGTGAAAAAGAAAAGAAAAGAAAAAATGCAAAGGGAAAAATAAAAATAAAATAGGAGTAAAAAAATGCTAGATTATTACCTACCATAATCCAAGTATGCCCAAGGTACAACACTGCACTTACAAGCTTATATTATATAAAAAAAATATATATATATATTTATTTAACACATCTGTTGATGTCTCATGCTACTTTTTTTTTCCTCAGATTAATGAATTTTTCCAAATATCTCTAAAATTTGCCCACTGAGGATGGTAGCATGACAAACATTCCATGTCCAGTGTGATTTTTCCTGTAATAATTTTGTTTACACACAGATGGATTCACAAATGCTTATCAACAGAGTTAGTTGCTGGTTCTACTGGATCAACCTGTTTACATTTTGCATTGATTTATGGAAACCTTGACTTTATTCTTTACTGCTATTAGTGATATTATTATTATTTTATGCAAATCAAAAATCATACTGTCATGCAATCAAATATATTGCATTGCCAACATAATGTAGTTTTTTTATGTAACTTACATTAGTTACAAACAACAAGTCAACTTTGAAAAAAAAAATATATATATTTAACTAAGTAACCTAAAAACCACTCACCCAATTTCAAATCTGTTTCTATCAGTGGAAAGGCAGTGTGGAAACAGGAGTTTGAATCTGTTTTTATTTATTTATTATTGCTTTTAATATTACTTTTTTGTGGATAGGGAAATAGAAAAAAAATAAAGTGGCCTCGATATACTGTTACAAATTTAGTGTATAACTTCATAATTTTATGTATAACTTCATTTTAGTTTATAATATATGATATTTATCAAATTGTTTTCTACTTTTTTTGCCCTCACCTCCTACATCCCCCTGTAGGTAAAATATCTTGGTATTGATAAATCTGTATTATTAATACCTACACTTGGCTAGTCACCTTAAATCATCTTATGCAGAGCAAGGCAAAGATAAGAGACAAAGCTACTACATAATACATTTTACAGGTCTGATTATGGAGTAACTTCTATACATATGTAAAACTGACAACAGCCCATAACATAGTAAGTAGTAAAAAAAACTCAAAGGAAAAATAATAGTTTATTTGCAATTTTCTTGTGACTGTATTTGCAAGCAGTGTCCTTGGAAGACTAGATAATAATTCTTTCACGTAAAAAAAAGTATTTACAATAAAGAAAAAACAATACATAAAAAACTATGTACAGCATTAAATAATTTCTCGAACAAGAGCGGCCATATGATCAACACCACAGCTAACTTTCAGAATTTCACCAGCAATGGCAACCTAGAAAAAATAATTGATGATATTAACATCTTGAAAATCTTCATTACCATTTTTTAATTTCACAGAAATGTAACCATTAATTTCTTTTGCCATAAAGGGATATTTCATTTCTTACCCGCACTGGAAAATACTGATCCTTAATGTGTCCTAGGCCTAAGCACCCTCCAGGATTCTTGCCCCATGTAAACAGACATCCATGGTTGTTTATTGCTGCTAGTATATTGATGCCACAGTTTACACTAACCACCTGCATGAGGTAGAAGACAAAGAAAACAAAAGAGCGAGTTACATTTCTCTATATAGAAAATAGGAACAGCAATATGTCCAGGAAAATTATTTTGAAGAAAAAATGTGTAACAAAAATTAATATATATGCAATATGATAATCTGGTTTCTCAGTATCTTAGAATAATTAAAGAATGGAGGAAGATATCCTAAAAATAACTTCACTATCCATACTTTATTCAAGTTACCTTTGCATCTGGATTTAATTCATTCTTCCCAAATAAAGTACTAGGTATATGAGTTGGAGTCTTCGAATAAGTTACTTCTGGTCCCTTGCCAATAGGCCCAAAACCCCAACTGAACACCTGGCCATCCTCTAAAAAAGCAAATACAGATATATCAAAACTTGCATTTTAGCTCCGATTTTATGAAATCACATACAACAATATCATCATGTATCAGACTTCAGACTAATGAAACATATACAAACCATTCAGTAACAAACACATAGTCCCTGAAGATGCCACATCAACCACCTTCCCAACACCTGGCAACTTCAACTTTCTTGAGGTATGAATCTGCATTTCATCAGTCACTGAATTAAGTTGCTGGTACTCAGAGTTGCCCCAACCAAACACCTCTCCTTTATCTGCATGATTTTCATAAAATTGTAGTTTTTACATATGTTAAGTTGATGTCTCTGATTATAAATTCTGTTAATAATGCCTATGCAAGCCAAGATATGACAAAACTTATGGAACATTCAGAACCAAATATCAACTATAAACTTGGTTTATTCTTTAATAAATAGATCTAAGAGGACTACTGATACAACATGCTTTATAATTTATAAACACCAAAATCTTAACAAATTGCAATTCATCTTACCATTTAGAGCCAAGACACAATCAGCTCTACAGGATACTTTCACCACCTTCTCTCCTTCAATATCACCAATAACTGGGCCCACTCGCGGCTCATTGTCATAGTGCCCTCGACCTGTCTGGCCATCTGCTCCCCAGCCACAAGAATAGACCACTCCATCTTTAGTCAAAAAGAAACTGTGAAAATATTAAATATAAGAATGTGCTCCTTCATGTAGAAGTACTTTTAAGTGTGAGATATGGTAAAGAACAGATTACTAGATAAGATAGATAAATATATAATATTTAACTTGTACATCAAATTAATTCCACAAATAAAAAATAACAATGGTAATTATTAACACAAATGCATTGAAAACTTATGAAAGTCAATAACAACTTACCTAGTATCCTGACCACACTCCACTTGTGCTATATCCAGCTGATCTAGTATTCTTATCCTGTTGTAAATTGTTTGCTTTCCATAATCCTCATCCGCAATAATAGATCTGCCACACTGTCCATATGCGTTATTTCCCACCGTCCAGACACCTTCCTTGTCTGTCACCATGACCGTGTGAGCTCTACCAGCTGCAACCTGAAACCATTTATTTTCTAGTGATTATTGATATACGCAGATAGCCTTGTAATTAAGCAGAATAACACATGATAATAATCATATAACAAAATCTTAAAGTAACATTTTATTCACATATATCAGAAGTACTCTCCACCCTTTATTTTTAATTTCTGATAATTTTTTTTATGAGTTATTGATTTCTAAAAAAAATATATCTATTTAGATGCAAGAGGTAGATAATGAAACTGGGCAGATAATGTGGATAGAATGGATAAAAATACTGTTCCTTTTCTATACTTTAATTAGAAGAATCTCCATAAAATAAATACTGTCACTCTCATTTCAGGTCCAAACACATAAATACAAAAAATTAAAATAAAATATTATGGTTATTTCCTCTTCATAATAAGGCACACAACTGTATATGAATTTGAGGGCACAATCACCAACACTTCCACTACTTCTCCCGGAGATACTACTGTCTTGCACTGGTCACTCGCACTTGATCTTCCATAGGCCTTAATGTAGCCACACTATCACACTTGTGTCACCACATCCTCAGTTCTGCATCTCTGACACAACACTGTAAACACAAGCTTTCTGTCTGCTCACTCACTCTTATCCCAGGAGTGTCTGCTGGATCCTCTGCTCTGCTTTTACCAGGTTACTGCTGTGGCGGGAGTGTCAGCAGGACTCTAGCACTGCTCAAGCAGGCACATCAGCAGGGACTTTCCTTGGTGATCACTTCTACTTTTCTTTCCTCTATCACTCTTCCTCTTTCTCCGATTCCCTCTAGGCTACACTAATTATTCCTTCAGCCCTGCTGGGCCACCCCACCCAGCCCTTCTGCCTGTATTTCAACCAACTGCGCCAAAATACGAGTTCAAGATGCCATGTGCTCAGTCTCTTTCTCTCTGCTTCTCCTCCCTGTTTTCTATCTTTGTCTCCCATAATATTCTTGTCAATTTCGGTTTACACAATGCAAATGGTTTGTGTTTATAGCAATAATATAAGATGATATTAGAATAATTATAATCAAGGAATCTAGTACAAGTGTGTGACATAACCATTGCCCTATATCATTTACATCAACCACAGCTGTCTTACTGTGGTAGATGCTGCCATATTAATTTGAATGACTAGTACTGTACCCCATAATATGCCTAAAACTAGGACTACAACTTTGTTAAAAAGTCCAGCAAATCTGAGCCATGAATTACAACTACATTGCATTGGCATTAGCAATGCAGTAAACTTTATGCATCATACCTGTTTCTACTGTAAGATTTACTAGTTAGAAAAAGCTGCTATTTTTGCAACTGTCCTTTTTTCATTATATCTATTATTATAAGCTTTTCCATTATACTATTGAGCCTTTGAAAAAACTCTTGAGTTCTTCTTAACAGATATCTGACAGTTTGGTAAACACTCACCTTGATGACATTAGCAGTTTTATTAATTGGGACCTCAATTGGTGCAGGGGATATTAACATTCCCAGAGGGTGATCTTGTCTGGGCTGATGGCCACCTGTAAAAACAATAGAACAAAAACTCAGTTCAGAACTACTGAAATGAAATCCAATATTGAAACAAGAGTACAGAGCATTTAAATAATGCATGTATTTTAGACAAGCTAGGAATTAAGTGAGTAATTACCTAAAAGAAAGAAATAAAAGAACAGTAGTTAATATTCTAAGTAGAATGTGTAGAAGCAATTATCCTTTTTATAATTTGTTTCATATGCTTTGCATTTCTTTCTCTTTTTCTAGTGTGTCATCTTTACTTTATTCTCTCCTTGCCTACATTCCTTTTTCCCCTCCCTTAGTTTTCTTCCTCCTTCCCTCAATTCTGCTTTATCTAATGTTGTTTTTTTTCCAAATCTTTCTCTTTCTCTCTTCCACTCCCTCATACTCCTCTCTCTATACTATTTCAAACTCTGTTATCAATATGCTGAATATTTTTGGTTCTTTGATGAAACTGCAATGATCTGCACTAGTTATAACAATATAATACCTAAAAACATATAAAGAAATGAAAATGAGACTCTACTGCTGTAATGAATAAAATGAGTACCTAAATAATAAACGTCAACAAAACTATATTCATTGATAATCTACAATAATGTAACAACATCAAATTATTACCAAATCTGATCCTTAAAAAATATAATGAAGTAGATATGCATCGGGCAAGAGGACAAATAACACTCACCTACTTGAGAATCAGTATTAAGGCCTGTTCCATAGCAAGAAGCATCTTGAGTTTTACTGACTGCAAAAACAGTGAATCCATAACCACATGTTAAATCTGTGACCTATAAAGATAAAAAAATAAATATCGGTGAAATATTATACAGGATTGCTCTATCCCTGATTAAAGTCTGAAGCAGGAGAAAGAGGATAATGAGAATGATGATGTACAAGAGAGGAGGAATAGTGGGATAGTAAGTAAGTGGATAGTAAGAGGAGAGGAGATAGGAGATGAGGTGAAGAGGAGGCGGAGGAGGAGAATAAAATAGCAAACACTTATCTATTGTACATTGCATTCAAATACACAGAACTAGGGAGAGAAGAGAAGAGAAGAGAAGAGAGAAGAGAAAAGAGAAAACAAAAGAAGAGAAGAGAAGAGAAAACAAGAGAAAAGAAAAGAAAAGAAAAAGAAGAAAATATGTGAAGTGAAGAGGGACTGAGATGAAATGAGAGAGAGAGAGGAGAGGAAAGAAAAAGAAGAGAGAGTAGGGGCAAGGAGAGATTTGTTTGATAAATTTATTACATCCAGTGGATGACAGACAATGTACACAAGGTGCATGATAGTGTTTTGTAGGGCACATTGTGAACTATATATACACACAAATTTATTTGAATATGCATATTTATAATCTTACTCACATTCTCTCACACACATACGCACATGCACACGCATACACAAGCATGCACAAAAATAAATGGCTAATATCCACCAAGATGTGGATGACACACACGTACAGTCTCAAGGAGAGGAGAGGAGAGAAATTAAAATAAAATGAAGTAAAACAAGAAGAAACGAGATGATGAGAAGAGAAAAGAAAAGAAAAAAAAGGAGAGGTAGAGGTCAAGTGCGAACAGGAAATGGAGAGGAAAAAGGGTGAAAATAAGATATCCCTTTATAACAGATATTCATACCTTGTGATACTCTCCAAATCCAAGTCTATGTGGATGTTGCATAAACTGAAGGCGATGCTGGTGTCTGTGCTTGTCTGGACGAATAAAGGACGGCCTTCCCAGTGCTCCATGGTTTGCCACTCCCATGTGTACACTAGCTTATCAGGCTGGCTCCTTGTACCAACATATTCAACTTCTGCAAAATAATTCTCATTAAATACCCTTACAATATTGCAAGCCTTGGAGTAAAATCTGTATTGCTTAAGAGAATACTTTCTTAGAAAAATACTTCTTTAAATAGTACCAGCATGCCCTACCTTGGGGAAATTTTCAAAAATGTATTGACCACTTTCCAATGTTTGTCAATTAAATCCCAAGAAAGCAGAAAACACTCTTTGATACAATGAATTACAACCTGGAAGTTCATCTGCATGATGGGGATCCAGAGGCTTGGAAATCTTCCTCTTCTTCCCTCGGGCATGATACCCAAGGGAACCAACAGCACCATTATGAAGCAGACCTGAAAGATTAATGATTGGTTGGTAGTTGGTAAAAGCCTGTGTTCTTAAAATGTGTTGCACAGATGCAATGTGTTCAGTTGTCTGGGGCTTATTTATGACTATTTTTCATACATTATACAAGGCATAGACATTGAATCATATTCTAATATTCTTTGTGCTGTCATTTCAGTACGCAAACTAGGCCTCTAGCCTCCTGATATTTTTCACAAAAATTATAATAGTTACTTTCTTTTCATCTACCTAATAGCTAATGAATTCTCTTACCATAATTCAATGGCTCACCTTATTCAGGAAGAAGTAATAAATGCCTCCAAGTCTGTGATACATTTTTTGGTAAAACCTGATCTGAAATGGAACAAAAAAAACATAATTTTTATTCCCATACTTTATTAAGTTATCAACCACTACACAAGAACATTTTACCAATAATCTAAAATCTTTATTAATTTAGTGACTATAATGCTTTTATTATTAGAAGAGATATATTTTTGTTTTTTCAATATCCAATAAAAAACAGAAGAAACCAGTAATCTATATCCCAATTGTAAAATAAAAGAGAAAATAAAGAAAGAAATTAAGAAAAAAATAAATAAATTGATGTGTAAATTTAAGCCCAAGGGAAATAAAAGCGCCAGAATAAATGTAATGTAACTGCTTATAGAGTTATTGGTGATGAATACTCTATGAAACTTGCTTTTAATTTCATTAACTGCATAATCCATTGGTTATTATTACAGTATTCTAGCTGCCCAAGTCTCCGTGGTAGACTTCACACCCTGACAGATTTTTTTGTACTGGGTCCTTTCTCTGGGTTACCTCCAAATGGGTAATGGAAACTTATGCAGGGGTAGCATAAAAAGTGTATACACACACACACATACACACTCACACACACACACACACACACCCACACACACACACACAAACACACACACACACACCACACACACCACACACACACACACACACAAACAACAAGCACAAGCACAAGCCACAAGCACATGCCACACGCACGACGCCAGACACACCAGAAACGCACACGCTCACGCACTACCGCACAACACATACAGGTTATATAAATCTATATATATATGAATGCATGCACCATCCAAGGGGTTACACTGAGGTTCCTTTGCAAATCAGCAGTGTCAGTTAATGGCATGCCACAACAGAGACATGTTTTCAACAGCCACAATTCCTGGTATGTATATTCCAGCATGTCCATATAATATAGGGGACTGAACTGGTTCCCACAGATTACAAAACTGTGTACTGGACTGACACAGTTCACCTTTAACAACAGGTCAACTGTATCAGCAATCCCACATCATTTTATATACAATATCTTACCCCAGATTTAGTGTCCCTTCTTTGTTTTTACATTGATTTTGACTCAAAATATTTCCTGTGTACATCATGCTTCCCATATCATGTCCTATATTATCATTATATGCCTAGCTAAGGAATTTTTTAATTAAGATGTGCAAGATATCAATGGCCCAATTATCACTATGTAAAGTATGGGGCAAAATGGGTAGAATGAGTTGATTATTGATAAAACGTGTTTTGGAAATGACAAAGTTGTAGATAGTGCTGGAAAGAATAGAATGTAGTAAAAAGGGTAGAGAGGGGGAAGCAAATGAGGATGGCAGGGATTTTTGTAAAAGGGGAAGGTGGTTAGTACAGCAATTAGACAAATGAGAGGATGTGCTAATGAAGGATAGTAACACTATATGAAGAAAATTTCAAAAGAGCCATTATGAAATACTCAATGGGTAATATAATCGGAAATGGTAGTTGCGAGATGTGGGAGAATCTTAAGAATGATTAAGGGAATAGGGAAAGATGGTGGGAAGTACAGGAAGATTGCAGGAGGGAGGGATCAGGAGAAAGACACTGTTTAGTGATATAAGGTTAGTCACACGAGCATCCGGTGGGAGTACTAAGATAAGGGGAAGGAATGGTGAGGCATCTAGAGAAGAGATGGGGTGGTTTTTTGAGAGAGTGGAGAGGAGGGTAGAGGGAACTGAGAGGAGGATGGATATTAGCAATTACTTTAAAGAGAGCGAATAAAATAGAGGCGATTTAATGGTCGAAAATCTTCCATGAATGGCCATGGTATGCCTAGAGGTAAGGTTTGGGAGAACAACGGTCATGGTGAATAGTACATTTGAATCACCTACTACAGACTACTTTATTGTATTCACCTATGAGAAGTCTTCTATATTCAACCCCTGGGATTTATCTTTTTCTGTTAATATTTACTATGTCTTTTTGTTTTTGTATGTATTTTGTCTTTAGACTTGTTTGGTCTCTTTGGCCTACTGTTTCAGTTTGAGATTGGGTTCAGTGTTGGGATTAATTGTGCTGTGGTGTGCTCTATTGTTTGTATTTTTTTTTTACTGTTGTTGTATGTTTGTTTATCTTGTGTTTAGGACCTGGTTGTGTAATGGTTTTCATGAGTTGAAGTCTCTTCTTTTTGAAGGAGGTTATAGCTCTTCATTATTATTTTTTTTAATATTTTTCAGATCACTGGGAGTTCTTTGTTTTCTTTTATATTTTGGCCTCTCTACTATTTGCATTGATAATAAAACAGTATTCTGTATTTGCATAATCCTTTGTAATTATGATTTGAAATGACGCTTTACTAGCATATTTTCTATTTTAGCAATCAGACCCTGAACAGTTGAGAGGAGGAAGTGTATAGATAAATTGGGAAGATGTGTGTCCTCTTGCTGATTTTTTCTGGTAATTTACCTCTAAAATTTATTCCTTAGGGCCTTTGTTGGAACCCTTTTAATTTCATTGTCTTTTTCTCTGCTGTTTTTTCATCTAGCATTTCCCTAATTATGTGTTACTTCCCTTTTTATTCTTAATTCTTCTTGATCTCTTCGGGGTAAGGGAATGCCCCTCTTTTTGTATGTATGTGTAACAATTGCACTTTGTCTCATATTAATTTTAATCACACATCCCATAGGATGTTTTTTTTTTTAGCCACTGTCCAAGTTTATATTTTTTCCTGATTACCTTAAATATTTCTTTGTTCGCTCAACTCTATGCATGGGTATTTGGATCCTGATTTTTTAAATTTCTATCAATTTTTTTGGAGGGGCAGTCTATCACTGTTTTACTATTTTTGGGGTCATTTTTTAGTTTTAACCCTACCTGACAGGTCCACAACAACCGTGAGGCATCAAAACAAACGCTCGATCTTGGTGTGCAGTCTGTACGCTGCAGCGGTGCGTCAAAGCCACACAAGAGCTGGTTAATTTGGCTTGATGTACTGACTCCCGCACGCTCAAAGGCGGCGTGTTTGCCCATTGATCTCCAGAGCGTATATTTTTTTTATTTCTTCTTCACCTGTCTCAAGGGTTAAAAAAAAAAAACCCCCCCCCCCCCCCCATACTGACGGTACCATGCGCTGAGGCATCATAACCACCGCTAATCTGCGGAGTGCAAGCTGTCTGCCGCGGGCGGCAACCATGAGCTGAAGGTTCTGCTGAATGTATTGACCCTGCGCCAAAGTCGGCCTCGTTGCCATTATCCCCGAAGCGTTGAGTTTTTTTATTCTTTATCCGTCAGTAAGAGGTTAAGTCAAATAGTTTTTTTTTTTGTTTTTTTTAATACAAAAATAGGGATCAACATGCTCTGCAAATTCCAATATGCCATTGCAAAACACATGAAAATTAAAGTCTTATGTTATATATAAAAAAAAAGAATTTAGTGTTGCTTTGGCAATAAGATTATCCCAAGTCATCTGAGTTATTGGTTTTCAACAAGGACCATACTTTGTAAAGATAACTCTTATTATCTATATATTTTTGTGTATATGAAATAAGATATTTGACCTGAAACATTTAATATTTGTATCAAATCATAAAGAAAACTTATCCTATACAGAGAATAAGTTTCATTTACTCTTTGTTAAATCCAAAGTGATGAAATTATTATATTCAAGTAACTCTTGCTGAATACAACAACCTGTTGTGAAATTTAGAGAATTTATAGAAACTCATGTGTAAAATGAATGTAAGCGAGAATTATCCAAAAGCTGTGCAGTATGAATAACATTTTTGCCAAGGTGGATGCCACCAACGGTTAAGAGCAATCCAAGCCGAACCATTATCATTTACCTAACACTTACTTTCTAACATTAGTGCTTCGTACTCGGTACACAACAGACCTTACCTAATTCTATACAGTACTCAGACCCACTCGCCTGAGACTGAAAAAACCCAACCCCAACATCATAAAATAATCCAACAATCTCATTAAGTTTCCTCTGAATCTGGACCTCAAAAGCGACAAGGTACCGTTTTGATGTATACTCTAGGGAGGTACTAAACGGGAATTGGTGTAGAGACTTGTTTTAAGCAACCAGTTCTGGCGGCCCTTGTGGTCTCCTCAGCTGATGTAAACAAACCACGTCGCGTTCGAGTAAAACGGATTCCAACTAAGCCCTCCTTTGCCCTCGTTTGCTACTCAGGAGACAACAATAAAAATGTGTCCTAATAGATTTACATGACATAAAAATACATATGTGTGTAATATATATAAATATAACATATAATAATATATATATAATATATTTATTTATAATATATATAATGGTATGTATGTATATGTTATGTATATAGATATTTGTTTTTTTTTTTTTTTTTTTTTTCAACAGCATTCTTTCCACTGCAGGACATCGCCTCTTCTCAATTCAGTATTGAGAGTTATATGGCGGTGTTTACCCTTGCCTGATTGAATGCCCTTCCCGAATCTACCGCGTTTCGGCGCGTCAACACTTGTGCCACGCGGTGACTCCCCTACGACACCTGTGGTGGACTTCTCCAAGCTGATATCCGTTTTTTCTCGGACTCGAGTCAGAGTCTGAGCGTAGGCATGTTTTTACAACTGCCGCGACGGGGAATTGAACCCGGGACCACGAGGGCGGAGTCCATTGCACTAACCACTGAGCTATCGCGGCATGTATATTATATAATATATATAT